CGTTAGACTGGTCCCAGGTAAACGGCGGAAAGGTAATTTGCACTGACGAGAATGGTCAAGACGTGACTTGTCATTATTTCGGCGAACCGTTCAAGTACGATTTGCCTACTGTCTGGGATGCGGTCAACTACTACCTGAAGCCCTACCAGTGCCTGTTTACAGACAACGGATATGTAGGTAACGATCTCGAATACAGGGGGGGGCGCGCAAGGGGGGTTGCAAAGTGGTTAGGAGGTGACTTATACGGATTCGACGATGAGCACCTTATGTTAGCGGGGTACATGGCAGATGGTATGAACAGGGGACCACATGTCACGCGGAATGCAAACCCGAAATTCGAACAAACCATTCCTACTAGCTACTGTGATAGTGACGGCCCGACATGTCGGACAAACCTGTCGGAACATTGTCAATGCGACATGATGGAAATGAGAGGCGAGGCCACCACTCCATCTGGCACGACCATTCGCTGGGGCTTGGTTAAAGACTACTTCACCAACCAGACTGAATTGGCAAAGTACTATACGTTGTTCCAAAGAAAAGAATACAAACTGACAAACTGTTACATTCTGTGCTACAGGCACGTTGATGCCAAAGGGCACCTTCGGACTGCCAGAATCTCCTGGGAAGGTAACTTCTATCAAAAGCTTTGACGTGTCCTTTTTTATGTGTTGACCACTGTGTTCTAAGGTGTTCTGTATTATTTTCACTGCGCTGTCCTCGAACCGGGGCTGTGCCGCTTTCAAGTTGTTCGCATCGGGTTGCTGTAATCTCGCCGGTGAGTTGGTCATGAATGGTACTTCACCGACCACTCAGGTTGCTGGCGCTCACCAGTGTGTTAGAATCCCAGCCGTCTGCATGTACACGCGGGAGTTGTGCAATCTCTACCTAGAAATCGCTCTGGCCAAAGTGGCAAACACACGTGCTATAATTCCACCCTTCACGTCCGTCACACACAGGTCCTACACGTCTTTTCTGTAAAAAACATTATTGGGCGGTTCAGAGTCCTTCCACGCTGCAGAACGCGCCCGTTCTGGCGTGGGCGACCATGGGCGACCATGGGAATGTTGGCGACGAGGGGCTAGCAACAGTAGACTCACGAGCCGGCGGGGGTAGCACCGAGCACGGCCAGAAGGTGGAGGGTTGCTATTCGATCAATGACGTGTACGTTTCGGTTGAAGGTGAAGGCTTCGCGTGGGTAGCTGAAAAGTGTGTGCAAACAAACACGCGCACAATTTTTCTATTAGGACGAATTCAACTCCTGACCTCTTCGAGTCAACGGCAAGGAAAGGGGTTCTCAGGGAGGAGAACGACCAACTCACCGAGACGATGCTCTCGCGGGAGGGTCTCAAACTGCCAAAAACATTTCAACTTTAATTGTCCGACAAACTCATCCGGCAAGACTATTCGGTGGGGTAAGACTACTTCACCAACCAGACTGAATTGGGAAAGTACTATATGTTGTTTCAAAGAATACAAATTGCGTGCTATGGACACAGTAGGTCCCAGTAGGTTAGGTGAGAGGTTCTTCCTTGATGTCGACTTTGACGTCTTCTTGGTTGGCTGCTCTGGTGGCGGCAGTGGAGCGTTTGTTTTTGCTGGCCGTCCAGGCCTGTTCGTATACGACGCGTTCGTTGGTGAGTTTGCGGGCTTGTTGATAAACCTTGCGGAACTGTCTGTTGGCGGCGAGCTTCGGGAGCAGCGTGCGCGTGCGTGTGGCGATCTTCTTCCGGAACTGCGCGTCGAGTCCCGCCCAGCGTGCAGCCGCAAGCGCTGGGTAAACCTCCAGCCCGCCCTTCGCGTCCGTGCGTTCCACGTGGTCGCGGATTTTCTTTAACTCGCCCTTCAACTCATCTTCGCGGGCACCCAGCCGTTCCACACGACCGTCTGTGAAGGCTACATAGTCCTTCTCCGCATCCAGCAATCCGGTCGCTTCATGGAGACGCCCCCGGAGGCTAAGTTCCTGGAACGAGCCCACCAACTCGTCATCGTCTGAGATCACGTCTCCGCGTGCTATAATAGTACTGTCCACCTCACACGTCGTGCGAAGAGGTGGCCGAGGGATGACCGGGCAGGCGAGTGTATGATGGTCATCTCGGGTGGTTTCGGAAAGGATCCTGAGCTTCATTTTGCGTGCAGAGCCTCGGTGTGTCTGAAGTTCATTAACCTTTTCTCTTGCTTTAAGGTAGCGTTCCAAATCGTCGGTCCAGACGACATGGTTATTCATGGAGGTGATATGGTAGCGCAGTGCTCGGTGTGCGTCTCGAGCGTCCACCAGACCCAGTCGTGCGCGCGTCCAGTACAGCTCCCAATTAAAATCGATGAGTGCCTGTTGCGGGGACTTAGCGAGCGTGAGTTTAGTCGGGTGTGCTGCAACGACGCGCGCAGTGTGTGTGCGTTCGTTGAGTACGACAGCGAAGTGACGTCGTGAAGTCAATTGTGTATCCAGACCTGGCAGCGTTCGCTGCCACAACTTGTTCAGAGCGAACCGGTGAGACAACTCCGCCTCGTCCACACCCATCAGATGCAACTCCGCCCCCGACGCACTCTCCAACGTTGCCAGGAAACCCAACGGCAGCCCTGACCGCGAAGGCCCGCCATCGAACCGCGCCTCCACCATCCGCACTCTCGGCTTCACACTCAACGTTCGCCAACACTCGCCCGGCTCCACCCCTCCCGCACCCCCGGGATTCGTCGCACCTACCACAACCCCCGGCACACTCGTCACCGCCGCCTTCTTCCGCTTCTTCGCAGGCGCCGCCACCTCTGCCGCCATGCGCCGCTTGTAGCCGTCCAGTGTGCTCCCAGGCCAAATGCCCATCACCCTACTCGAACCCGCAAGCTCGCCAGGGCCTCGGTCCACTGCACCACTCGCCCGACCCGCGCCCGACGGCGTACGGTGCAAACGGTAGCGCCGACGGTAACGGGACTGCGGGTCCGTGTAGGCTGCGTTCTCATCTTCGCTGCTATCATACAACATCGGCACGTTCAGCCCCGAGGCGCCCTGTGCCAGCGCCTCCAGCACACGCACCTTCTCGCGATTCACGTCGAATGCGTTACGCAGTCGGCCATGCTCGCCACCGAGCCGCACCGCAAAGTGTTCCGGCCCAAAGGCACCTGCCGCGCTCGCCTGCTCCGGAGCCGCAATAATTTTCTTCAGCACCTCCGTCTCGCGCCGTCGTTCCTGCATTTCCTCCAGTTCCTCCTCGCTGTCCTCTAGCACGGCGGCCGTCTGCGTGACCTGCACGCCGCCGCCCGGAGTGGAACCAGCGACTGCGCCGGCGGCTTCGGCCGAGATGCGGCCGAGCACACGCTCGTCGGCGGCTCCGGCGCCGACGGCGCCGGCGCTTTTGAGTTGTCCGAGTTTTCGGGCGGCGGCGGCGCGAAGGTCGCGGGTTCGAGGTCGGGTGAGGGCAACTTTGTTGAGGGGTCGCCAGGAGTGCGCGTTGGCCAGCAAGTACTTGAAGTCTTGGAAGAATGTGGCTTGGCTGTAGGCGTGGCCGAAGGGGCGCCCGAGTATCTGGCTGAGGTTAGCGAGGTACAGGTCTTGGGCCGAGTGGTCGAGGACGGTGAGGGTGGGGAGTGCGGCATCGCTCGATGAGCGCAAGAGTTGTTCGTCGGCAATGAGCCAGCGAAAGGGGTTGAGGACGGGTTCGGGCTCGAGTGCATGACGGCGGATGTCGTGACTCCGTAGGTGTTGGGGGAAGCGTTGGGCGAGGAGTGTAAGGTAGAGAGCGACCCAGCCGTTTTTATTGAGCTTGACTTTGTGTGTAGTGAGTGGAGCGGGTAGTGCGAGGTGAAGTCGTGCGTAGGCCGCGGCTTGCGTCCAGTCCCGCCACTCTTGGCGTGTGCGGCGCGTGCGTTCCCGTTCTGGTGTCTGGTCTTTGGCGTATTTTTCTTTTACGTACGCGCCAATTTCCGTTGCGGCCACCGACTTGTCCGCCGCCTCTAAAGCGCGTGCCACTAGTGACCGCTGCAGTCGCCTCTTCTGGGCCGCTCGCTGTAACCGCCGTAACGGACGCAACGCCGGCGGGAACCTCGATAACCGCCCGTCCTCTTCCTCCTCACTCTCCGTATACAATTCCGCTTCCGCCTCCGCTCGTTCCCAAAATCGCACACGCTCGGAACCTGCAGAACCTGCAGAACCTGCAGAACCCGCGTTCGACGCCAGATGCGCGCCATAACCCTTCTGCAAACCCAACAGGTCCTTCTGTAATGCGCCCAAGGCACTCTCAAACAGCTCCTCCGTGCTCAAACTTACACTTCCGCGACTTGTGCTCCACATCGTGTTGAGGACGTCGGCCGTGTCTGGCCATGTCTCAACGGCGGACACACGCATTTGGTCGACCAGACGACCAGGTTGACGCCCGTTGGCCGTCTCCTGTGCACGTACCACTTGACCGCTGAGCTCGATGTCGCGCTGATACATCGCAAGGAACCCCTCGCCGCGCACGGGGTACTTCCGCGCCGGCGCAACCTCCGCCACCACCCGACCCTGCTCATCCACCGGCAACCCGTCCTCACGCGCCACCTGCGCACGCCGCCGCACAGGACCACCGCCCCCTCGACGTGGCCGCTGTCGCTGCATATATAAAATCTCCGAACAAGTCCGGGCCGCGAGTCCGGGCCTTCTCTTCCAGTATGCCACACCATACCCCCTTTGAAGTGTGACCCCCCAATTGCACGAATGAAAGCATAAATAGCACACTGAGTAGCACACTGAGGCAAAATGGGCCAGTCCAGGGGAGAAGATTCATTTTTTGATGCAACTCCAATCTGACCTTCAAGTCGACCCAGGTCACGACCAGTGGCCTGGTGGTGACAAATGGGAGTGGAATTGGTGCGGCTGTCGAGTGGCCTTAGCGGCGCCTCCGGGTCCCCTGCCGATGCCACCGCGGCGTGCTCGAGAACGGTATCTGGAACCGGCGGTGTCACGCACCGTGGCTCCGTTGCCGGCACCGGCGACCACCAACGGAGGGGGCTCCGTGGATTACTCGGAGCGGCGTCGGCGGCCACTACCAGGCGTTATCTGGTTCCAGCAATACCCAGTCAACGAGCTCACCCACCGCGTCCTCACTGACGTGCCGCTCTGGAAATTAGCCCCGAACGCGCAGTACTTCATCGCCGAATATGGTAACCACCTCCCACTCTACTTGTTCCAGAACTGTTTTCCACCCCATGCTTCTACTACCCGCCCCCGAGCCAAGCCGGATACACACGACAACCCGGACGCCCAGTTGCACACACACCCCGGCTCGAATCCCGGCTTTGGTCGGAGCGGGGGTCCGAGTCGCGACCCCAAACCCGGCCGGCGTGCCCGTCCGGCACAGGGCCCACTGACCACCTTCGGCCGGCGGTGTTTCGAGGCCTACTGTGTCCGGCACGGGGTCTGCTTCCACCGTTTCCGGTTCATCACAGTCGCCGGGCGGCCGTGGGTATTCGCCGTAGACCGGGAGCGGTCGCCAACGGAGGAGCAGCAAGACCTGGGTGTGGTACACGCGCCGAGCGGCGCTGTCACGCTTTACCGAGCCTGTCCCTGTCCCACGGGAAGCCCCCCACGCAGCCAACAGACTTCCGGCTGCGATTGGTGGAGCGTCGGAACCTGGGCAGCCATACTAAGTTTCCTTCCTGTGCATGACGTGCTCTATTCCGGACATTGGGTCCGCGATTTGCGAAGGTCGCGACTGCCGGGTTTGCGTGGTGCGGCTTGTTGTGTACCGCGTGTAGACGTCTGTAGTCTAGCACATACACTTACCAACGACTTCCGCAGTGACGTAATGGTTCCCCTTCTCGATATCCCACACTCCGCGGATCGCGTCGCGCTGTCGTTCAAATGGCACGACCAACACTGGGGTAACCAAAAGGCCGTACTCTACGCACTGTACCTCAAGAGAAAACAAGAATCCCACCAGGACCAGAGCCAAGGTCTGGACACCACAGGGCGGGCGCAACAAGGAACGATGGAGCCAAACAATAGCCTATTTGAAGTAGCACACGCCCTCTTTCCGAACCTCGAACGCACGGACGCTACAAACGACCAGTCTCCGGATGCACCTCTGGACTCTGAAATGTCTGAAGACGAGTACTACGACGAGCCTGCACCCACTGAGGCCGGCCCCACTGGAGCTACCCCCGCGGACGTGGGCGGAGAGACTTTTGAGTTGTTGGACACTTTGTGGGACGAATATGATCTTCTGGGTGTGAGCGTGCCGGCGCACTTGGCGGACATGCGTGACGCGGAGGTTCGCGTTGAACTCCCGCCTGAGGAGGTGTGTAGGGCCGAGCGTATTGTGTTGTGCTATACCGTCGGAGGCGGCGGTGGGCACTCGCTCAGTTTCGACTACTTTAAAGTCGCGACGGTTCGATTCCAGGCTCTGCCCGCCGTACACCGGTCACTGGCGGCCCGCGTTTTCGCCCACGCTGCTCTGCGCGACAAGGTACTCACCTTCCTCCACCGAGCCGCCCAAGAACCTCTCCGATGCGCTCTCGACCCCCCGGTCGGGGCAGACCCCACCTTCCGGGACCAGGGCGCGGCCGGACATCTCTCCATCGCCACCGGCGGGATATCTCTCAATGGCGGATACCCCCCCAACCTCACTGATACAAACCCCGCCACTGATACAAACTTCTCTGGAAACTCCCCAACGCCTTGCAGCGAAGCGTGCACGGGTTCCAGTACACCCCATTCATCCAACCCGCACGAACCGAAGAATCTCTCGGATCAGAATTCTTCGACCTCAATAACGGAAGCGCCGGAGCGAAGGCGACTTCTGTTAGTCCAGCCGGCCGCGTGGTTCGAGATGCGGGACGCAAGACCTGGCGCTTTGGTTGTCAACGGGTGCTACGGCCGCCACTTAACACCACGCATTTCATCCGGCACGTGGACACTCTCCGGGAATCGAGCCGCCGACCGTGCGCTCCTCGCAAACGAACTCGGAACGACCTTCGTACGCAAACTACCACCGTTCCAAATCGACCCCCTCGCAAACGCCAACGCCCTTCTCATGGACCTATGCGACAACGGCACACTGCCCCTCCGCGATCTCTTCCGCCCCGAGACCTAGTCCTGCCCAAAGAAGCCCTCAGGTCCTTTAGGTCAGGACCTCCCCATAGGCCCGGGAGCACTTTTTCGTACAACCAACTGATCGCCACCGTCTTCTCGGTGCCACCTTCCTGGTCGAGGAGAGGTTACGAAGTGAGGGATCATCCTCACCAAACAGGGGGTCCGCTATAATTTGTCATGCGCGATCTGTGTGACTGTGCCATAACGGACACGGGCGACACACCCAGCGGCAGACCATTCCGTGCCGGCCGAGCCGATTGGGATGTGTCCCCACAATGTGATCAAGTCTACCCCGTGAATGCACGTTTGGAGCAATTGTTGGCGCCACATACGCACGATCCGGCTGAGCCACAATTGGAACTCGACGCCTACTCCAACCGCCTCGTCGCCGGTCTCTTCCGTGACTGCTACCCTCCCGCTATCTCTAACCAAACGCTCCCTACAACCCCTGACCAAGACCCAGACATGAACGGCGAAATTGATGATCCCGACCAGGACCCCGACCAGGACCCCGACCGGGACACCGACCAGGACCCCGACCAGGACCCCGACCAGGACCCCGACCAGGACCCCGACCGGGACCCCGACC